TGTACAATAACATCAGTTTCCCTCAATAGCAGTGAGTCACTGAAGGTCTGATGTGCATATTATCAGTGGCCCGCATAGATGCTTCTTATCAGTTTTAGTGCACCCAGAGAATTTTTAGAGTAATAGCAGAGGGGGAATACATTTGTGATATTCACTGCCATCTTTTTCTCTAGTATGATTAAAGGATTGTGTAAGTTAGACTAAATGCATTTTGTGGATTTTTTCCCCCACTTTCATGTTCCACAATTTGGACAATGTCACGTTAAAGGTTAATTAAATCAGTTTACACGACCTATCAGTCCGTTCAACTTGTAGCTCTTTGTGCAAAAACACAATGCAAATGAGATGAATGACACTATATAAGGTCTCCTCCCTAGCCCCATCACAATTGCATGCTAAAAGAAGAATAATCATTTTAAAGTATAGCTCGTCCTTAGTTTTGTTTTTCTCTCAGGAAAATGGGAAATAGGTACAGCAACATACAAACATACATGGAAATAAAGTACACAAAAAGAGTTTGTACAATTCCAATAACCTCAAATGTTAATATTGGTAATGACTACTTTTATTCTTCAGTACATGCCTTAAGTAGTCCTCAGGAATAGTTCCCTGGGCTTCTCGAAGGACATTTAAAACTCTGCTTCGGGTGTTGGCTGTCTTTTGTTATGTTCTCTGTCAAGATGATCCCACACTGCTTCAGTAATGTTGACATCTAGTTACTGGGGAGGCCAATCTATGACTGGCAGTGTTCTGTTGTGTGTTTTTCTCTCCGGGTATGCTTTTTCTGCACTGGCAGTTTTAGGAACTGTTTCTTTTTAGGTAAGTGTTAAGTGGCTTAAAAAACAAGCAAAGCATTGCTCTGGTCAGGTACAAGGACTGGACTGAAAGTGACTGAAAAAACAATCAGAAAGTCTGAAGAACTATTGCTCATGAGCACTTTAAAAATGAAAAGGAAGTGTGTCTCTTTGGAAGCAAAATTTAAAGGAATAAGGGATCTCTTAAGTCCTAAGACTTGCTTAAGCTTCTATTTTATCTCTGAGCAATAAACTGTGCAACTTAAGGTATGTGCTATGTAAAATGTACTGCAATGATAACATCATATCTAATTGAAATGGGAAACAGGGGATTCTCACACTCATTTGTGGTAGGAGTGCCAGGAAAAGCTCTAACATATATCAACTTAGCTTCCTCTTAAATCATTGACCGATGACTGGGGTTAAGTCTGAACTGTTTACGTCTTTGCTGACAAGATTTCAGATTCAGATTTCAATGGCATGGTTCATGTGGTTGATTTAAAAACAGTCTGGTTGAGTAAGCGATTAATAGTTGGAATTAAACCATCATTAATCCTCCCTTCACCACCAAACAGGGAACCTTGGAGTCATCACTCTAATAATCCACTCTTTACATATGTGGGTCAAAGATCAGCACTCAAACCTGATTCTGTAAAACAAAGCCCCTACACTGTTCCTTCTACCATCCTGACAAACCATTCACTTACCACTGCCCTTTCCTTCCCCGTGCCCCAAAATAACATGAAAGTCACATCAAAGTCCAACAAATCTGCTCACAGTTAGTTTTTGGCCTCATTTCCTGTTTTTGTTTTCTCCCAAAAAAACAAGAAAAGAAGAAAAAAATCAAACGGGGAAAACTACACTAATCTGCAATGTGTTTTGGATGTAATACTTTGGAGTGTTCTGCATAAATGAACAGGGAAACTGGAGAGCTGCCTCATTAGTTTCCAATACGCTGAAGTCAAGATCTGATCTCGTATGACAGAGAGAGGAAATGAGCAAATATAGGAGGATTATTGGGAAATATTGGAGACACTTTTGATGTGACACTGTATTTATTTGTTGGACACACACAGCCGGGCTTGCCTTCTCTAGTTTCATTGGGCATAAAATTCTGGGAACCACACAGAACTGACAATGGATGTTTATTACCCCAGATATAAGCGGCGATGACATTAACTACAAACACACAACACTGCAAGCATTTACAAAATATACTCCATATATATTATGCGCTGCACAGTAATGCACACTCAGGCAGGATGATTATACTGATGTCAGAACACCTCATTGTTAGTACATTTAATTGCTGACTGTAGCAATGAAAGGACAGTTAGAGGGATGTCTTTTGTTTTTTCCTATCCTGCCTGTGTGATGTGAATGCAACATTTAAGCCTCACCAGCACTGAGGATGAAATTTCAAAGCTTGCTCTGTATCATGGTACAGAAAAGACCCTCAAATCACGGAAGTCAAAGGATTTTCTTCTCAGGAAACATACATTTTCTCAGCAAATGTTGTACAATCCACCTATTCAGTGCTGTGTTTTGTTTGGAAAGGGTAGCATGTGGAGAATTTAGCCTGATGATGGCACCTGGAAAAAAATGTCAGGCCACATGAATCATCTTGTTAAAGCATTCATACAAAAAAACATGTAAATCCTGCTCCCTCGCCAAATTATGAACATGATTACGTTCATAATACTATTTAATGTAAGCATAAGTAAGTAAAATGATGAATAATATTTACCATATTTGTTTTTTTAAGTTTTCTCAATTGTTTTGATACAATTCAACAATCAAAGCTTGTTTCACATGTGTTAGAATATGCAGTCAAGCACTTCACTTAAACACTGTGACCACTGAGTAAAAGCCTTGACTCACTGCTGTTTTAGGACTTTGACATCAAATATATGTTTTTCTACTTTTTATCAAAAAATACCAACTATTTTTTTACTGGCCCTAAAAAATAGTGTTCAGACCCAAAAATGAAATGTGAAGAATTAAAAATTTTACACAATAGAATCACTTATTGGGATCTAAACCAGTGATACTGCTATTGTTACACTACTAAAGATATTTGTTACTGTCTTGATGAACTTCAGAATCAGAATACTTTAATAATCCCTAAGGGAATTATGTAATATGAAAACACTCTTTTTCTACTGATACTGTCCAGCATTGCATTAATGTTTCCAGTCAAGTGACTTCAAGCTTGTATGAAAGAGCAAATACAGTAACGCCTATTCAGAGGTTTACTTGCAACAAATAGAAATGCATACTTTCAGTTTAGTCTCAGCTGCTCATCCAAATTTCCCTTTTAAGCAGCCCCAAGGATGCTCTACTGGACTGAAATCTGTTGACTGAAGGCCATTGGAGTACAGTTTTTTCAGTCTTC